TTCGAATATACGGATGAACATTATTTTACGAACGATTGTATTTTTTTGTTCATTCAAGAATTTCAAGTTTTGTAACGATCTGTGAGTAGATGGTTTCAGAAACCCGACATATATGCAATTTTCCTTTCATTTGATCTTGCTAACAAACAAAATTGACCTTCAACTTTATATATTAGTTGACTTGTAAAATAACCACATAAACTCATGATTCAAAGCCAAACTAATGTTTTCAAATTGTGATTTACCCGTGCTGTATTGCGCGGGTACACCACTAGTGTGTGTATATATATATATATATATATATGATATGCATGCATGTATGTGCATGTGTGCATAAGTGTGTATATATATATATATGTGTGTGTGTGTGATTATATAATTAAAGTGTGAAGAAATGTATGTGGTGTCGGCTGTAGTAGCCGACTTTCCTTATTTGGAAAATATAAAAGGGAGGTTGAGCCTCCATTGTAACCTTTTTCTATTTTGAGACCCTCTTTGAGCGATTCAAGAAGAAGAAGAGTTGACCGGACTATAATCTAAGCTTTTCAAAAGACTGATTTCAAAAGGCTTTTCAAGGTGAGTGGTTTAAATTGGTTTTAAACTGTATATAGTTATATAATTGATTGTATAGCTTTTTCATCTGATTTAAAAGATAACCATTGAGGTGTTGTCCGGATTAGACTTAAATCGGCCAAGAGTCAGGCGGTTTAGTCTTAAACCGGACAAGGGTTGGGCGATTTAAGCGCTAAACCGGTTAAGGCATAAGCGATTTATAAATAAACCGCTTGATGAGTATTGTCCGGATTGGACTTAAACCGGTCACCGCATAAGCGGATTAGCCTTAAACCGGTCAAGTGTTAAACGATTTATAACTTTGATTTATATCTAAGTGTTTAACTCGAAGAAGTAGGAATACGACTATGGGTTGACCGGACTGTTAAATCGGACAATCATGTATGGTGTTGTCCGGATTACTAATCCGGACGAAAGTGTTGAAATAATTCTAAGTGTTAAATCGGACAAAGTTTTGGATGATATGTTGTCCGGATTTGGTAAACCGGCCACGACTTGACCGGAGATGAAGTCCGGCCAAGCCTATGTTGACCAGATTTGTATTATGCCTTCTGCATAATTGATAAAAATTGTTATTTTATCATAAAATGGGAATTTTGATAAAAATAATTTTGAACTGATAATAATTCCATTGACTGCGGTCTATTTGGAATTGTTTTTGTGAAATGTTTTGATGAGGAAATAAGGGTGGCATATCAAGGAGAGGTGTACCATGGGATAAGGGTGACATATCAAGGAGAGGTATACCATGGGATAAGGGTGGCATATCAAGGATAAGTGTACAATTGGATATAAGGGTGGCATTTGTATGTGTGTTATATGACATAACTCTTTTTATTATATCTCTTAAGATTATCGTGGTCTGAAATCTTTATTTATTTGTGATTTAAAGATTTATGATCAAGGTTCTTATTGGAAATCATAGTCTGGATGTTATTGAGGAGGAAATAACAGGTTTGGCCTGAAACTTTGAATAAACCTTGTTTGAATAGAAAAGGTTTAAAAGTGGCATTATATGAAACCTGGTTGGTTCAAACCTATAAAGGTTTGAAGTATGTATTTGAATAGCTGAATGTTTGGCTTAATAAGTGGAAAGGTACTGGTAATATGTTCCTATTTGTTCATATATTTGTTCATATATTCGTTCATATATTTGTTATATATATGAAAAGGTTATTTTTGTACAAAGTTTTGGGGATTTTCACCCTGCAATAACATAAATAGGGTAACTCACTAGACCTTTCGGTCTAACCCTCGTTTTGTGATTTTAAATATGTATTGCAGGAGGTACGGGCGGTAAGGGAAAGGGGAAAATGTGATATTTTCCTATATGCATATCTTCATGAAGATTTGTCTATGATGTATAGTTTTAATTAATGAACGTTGATTAGTACAATAAATGTATTTTGAATTTTTGGGACATGTATTCTGTATGGTAAATTCTTGTACTAAGGGACCTAAGTGGTATATAAACATATATTTCTTCTCTATGAAGTATGTGTTACATGCAATGTGTGGTATGGGGTGTTACAAACGGGTACATGATGAATCTGCTACAGAATCTTGAAGATTGTAATCTGCTCCAGAATCTTGAAGATTGTAAGGCTTAAAGGAATGAATTCATCAAATCAAGGGTGAAATAAGAAAATTAATGTACATGAAATAGGTTTCATGAAGGTGAAACTGGTTCATGGCGTTATTGAACATGAGTAGTGAAACGGGTGCATAATGTATTTGGTTCGTCATGAAATAAGGCATGATGAAACGGGTACATGAAGAAACTGCTCCGGAATCTTGAAGATTGTAATATGCTTGAGAATCTTTATAATCGCAAGGCTTAAAGGAATGAATTCATCAAATCAGGAGCGAAATAAAGAAATTGATTTACATGAAACAGGTTTCATGAAAGTGAAACTGGTTCATGGCGTAATTGAACAATGAGTAGTGAACCGATAATTTTTAAAAACCATGTAAACCGATTTCGACCAATAGGAAACTTCCTTTTTTTTAATTAAATTTGCTCATTAAGGGTTGAATTGTAATTTACATTGTTTTTTATTAAATATGTAAGGTATTAAGTTGTGTTAATTAAGGAAACATAATAAAGGAAATGTTAAAAATTGTAATAGTTAAATGCTTATTTAATTTAGTATTTTAAAATTAAATATGTTTATTTGTTTTTATAGATTTATACGTAGTACGAGTATGAAGATCCAAAAGCTTATATTGATTGATCCACAAAATCAGTATCAGATCCTAAACAAAGATTCATGAACCGGTAAAATTATCATATTAGTGAAACAGTAACGTAGTACGGTTATCTTGTTTACTTAGTGGTTTTTTTTTTGTATGGTTTGATAGAAGTAGTAACGTAGTGTCGCATATTTAGATAGCAAAAAAATTATGATTAAATCGTTGCATAATTTACTAGGATACATAATATGTTGTATTACAAAAAAGGGTACTAATTTAATGAAAAAATGGAAAATAATATAATGAAACGTATGCAGATTGTTTTGTGAAAACGTTCATGGAGGAACTTGTTTGATGAAACTTTTAGGGATGAACTGGTTCCGTAATATAAAATTTTTGGATAATCTTGTGTTCTTATCAACAATTATGATGAAATTGTTTCATTTTTTTTGATGATTTTGTTCACTTAATGGTTAACATAGCCTGTAACGGTAAATGCATTGATACTATGAAACGTGTTCGGATTGCAAAAACTTTGTCGATGAAATGGGTGCATGACGACAAAGAAATCATTTCATAATTGTTAAGAACATGTTGTTTAATTAGCAAACAGTGAAACCATTTCATAATTAGATTGAAACAGATCCATCTACCAGAAACTAGAAAATGACAAATGTCTCATCTAGCATTACGTTGATTTGTATATTGATAAAACTGTGAAACCATTTCGTTCATGAAATGTAGTAGTAAATTTWTTATTATTATTATTCAAAAGGTTTCATTATGTTAAATTGATTATAGTGTGTTTTATTTTAATTGTTGATCTATTTTAATGATAGATGTTATTTTTTTATAATATTTGAACATAAAATTAAATTATTTTACAAATGATTTTGTTTCATTAATATTACAATATACATGATATGGTTGCCATTAATATTACCACTACCA